ACATTTAATTAAATATCACTGAAGAAGTGCAACAGTGTAATGGTGGCGCAGGTGCGGGGGGAGAAGAGAAGGCTGTTTGTTAATCACTTCTTCACCCTAAAGTCATTGGTTTCAATCTAGACAAGTGTTTGTCCAAATAAATGACAGTCACCACTATTTTCTCACTTTTTTTGTGACTCTCGATTTCCTGTGTGAAATAAATTCTTGATTGAATCCGTTTCCAAAAAGGATAGATTCTAGCAAGAGCAGAGGATTGCAGTAAGAAAGCTAACTGCTACATGATTCCAGAAACAGCCCTCTGCCACTAATGCAGATTTATCTTGGCAGTGCTCAGTGCATCTCTGCAGATAGCCAAAGAAATCTGCAAAATCCCAATCTCTCTCCACTCTGTCAAGGGACAGAAGGTTCTGCTTTTTGTGACTTCTGATACTGGTTTCTTTATGGACACTTTAAAAATGAAAGTGTCTGTGCATTTCTGTTCTGTATGCCATCATCTTGAAATTGTTTCACTCCTCTGCCCAACATCTGGTATTTACTATTCTGTGAACTGTACTTAAAACACCTTAAAAGTGACATGAAATATTGTTAGTTATAGCCCTCAAGTAGATGCTCCAAGGATACTACCCAAAACGCAGATTGGAACTTCTGTTATTATTTAGTCCCTAGAGAGTTATCTCTAAATACTTGATCTTTTCTGGTGTCTCAGATGTCCCTGGCTGGGTCTGCAGTTATTGTAGTGTCTTGCTGAAACAGAGAATGACTTTATTTTTTAAAAAAAACAACTTCCATTTTTTTTTCCTTTGTAAAACAGCTTATCTGGTTCCCCAAGATGGTATTGTGCAATGGACTTCATGTTCTGCATTGACCTCTTCAGCCATGGCAGATCAATCTATGCCCTCAACCTTTGCCCTCTCGAAATCATGTCTCAGGCACCTAAGATATATACTTTTTAACTTATCTGAAACACAGGTTTCATGTTAATGTTACTGGAGTATGATTTTGTTTCTCCGTTGTGGCAGCTTGAGCATAAGCCCTGTCATGAAATGAGCAGCGACAGTCTAAGGCCAGAGCTGTACCAGAGCCAAAGCTTGCATGAAGATATATTCTTCAGGATGAGGACTTTAACATCTGCTGAGTGTCGTTGTTTTGGGCCAGCATAGCAAGAGGCAGCAATAAGCCTGACATCAGATAATAAGCTCCTCTGATATACTCACTCTATGATATACTCACTTCTCACTGTGTACTAAAATGCTTGATAGTTGTGCAAAAACTGAATGGTAAAATATATGATTTTTTTTTTCTGCGTGTTGTGGAACTACAGCTTGCTCTCTTTAATGATCAGCTGAAAGCTTAAATATTTATAAAACATTATTATGGAAGTGTGGCTAGAGGTTCCACAGTTAAATCAATTTTGTACTTAAAGCAAGGATTCAGCTGCCTTGTTATGTGTGAATAACACAGTGTATTCACATGCAAATTACAGCACATATTCTTTCAGTACATAATCCATTCCCACTGTTTGCAAATGAACTAGTTAGTTAATTAATGTTGAGAGTTAGCGTTTCTCCTAAGAAACTTAGGGCCCTGTGTCAGCAAATTATTTATTTCCTGTGCAAGTGCACTGTTTAACAGCATTTCTCATCCCTCATTCCTAATAACTACATTCATTGCAATACTACATGTAAGATTACTTTGAACTGTCTTTTAAAATAAGTCATTTCCTTTTGTCCTTATCAAGGTTAAAGTTTTATTTTTGGCAGGAGAAGAAAAATAAAAGAATATACGACTGAAATAATGGTTTGAAATATTTTTCCCCTCCTTAATAGAATCCAATCACAGTGGCCCTTTGCTGTTGCTTCTTTTCATCACAGAATATTTGAAAAAGTCCATCAGTTTTGGGTGCGTTTTTGAGATGTATCAGAAGCCACCTAAATTTTTAAATTAAAAATTAGTCTGTGTGTTGTGAGCAATGGGCATTTTCATACAAATAGAAATAAGTGCTATCACTTTGGACCTGAGAGACAATCTAGTCACGACTTTTGTGTGACTAATGTACTTTGCTTCGGAGTCTACCTGGCCTAGCTGCCCTTTATGTCTAATGAAAATAGATGGCTATCTTCAGATATCAGATCTGCATGGTCCAATATGTAATTATTCTCATAATCTCATTTCTTGTTAGAAGGTTAATTTGTCTAATTTGCAATCCTGGGACTTAACTTTCCTTCTCAAGGTTAAAAATCTCTCCAGTATTTTTCTATATGTATGCACCTACTGTACCTACGGCAGGTACTCGAGCCATCTCTTAATCTGTCTTCAATGAACCCAAAAAAAAAGGTTGTCTCAGATTTTCAGAAATTTATGTCCTTGAAATGTGAAAAAGAAATCAATTTTTACTATTCCTGTGTGCAAAGCTAAAATCATTTCCCTATTTGTATCTGCTGTAATTTTTTTCCTAAAAACATATCCCAAGCAATCTTGTTGGATTTTTACAGCAGCATTGCAACTTATAGGCACTTTATAGCTACACTCAGTTTTGCTCAAGACAAAGCCGTATGTTTATCACAGGATTGACACAGTTTACTGCTTTTTGTTCCCGAGATAGTTCTTTTGAAATTAGCTCCAATATATCTTCAAGACATTGCAATGCTTTTAGAAATCCGTGGGTTTAGGCCCCATTTTTCCCTCACACAAGCACAATTTTGTTCTCACACATCATGCTTCCTGCGTTGCTAAAACAGCTTTCACAGGACTGAGACCATTAACTAAGTGGTTCAGATTACACTGTAAGAGTGACCAGCTCTCCTATTTTATTAGCCCCTGTGTCACTTGAAACCAGGCATGCAAACACTGTGTGGCTTTGATGGAGTTAAACCTAGAGGTAATTTGGTTCCATCTAATTTGAGTAATTCTGGACATACTTCTAGCAGCAATGATGTTCTATGGAAATGCTATGGCAACGTCAAAATGTTGGCTGTCTAGCAGACTTACTGCATCCTGTGCATGATCCGTGAATAAACAGAGGAATTTAGTTCCCAGAGTGTCAGTCTGGCACATTTCACAAGCACTAGATTCACATATCAAAAAAAAAAAAAAAAAGGAGAGCGAGAGAGAGAAAAGATCCAGTCATACAGAAAGTGCTATAGTGACTAACTATAAAACTTCCTATCATTTTATCATTTACCCCTACCCCTTACTAAATCTAAGAAACTAGGAAAAATCATTTATATTTAATTAAGAGGGAAAATATGCTTCAGATTTTGTTATTATTTTTCTTCTTAACTGCCCTTTTTTTGATCATGCTACTTTTTGTTTTTCTATCTCTTTGCTTTTTCTACAAGCATGTTAACATAGTCTTTTCAGTAAGATGTGGTCTCTATTTCAACCAAAAGCCAGAGATGTAATTAAAGAAGTATCAGAGCCAAAGAGCTCAAAAAACTCAGACTGAGGTTCAGGGCATAGTAACATATTCAATATTTCTTCTAGTCTGCTGAGAATGGGAGCACAAGACTGTGTTTACATTGCCAAGTTGACTCTGTACTGACTTCCCACCCCCAAAGTGAATGCAGGCTGTAAATCCAACTGTGTCTCTCTCCCACCCTCCATACCTTACAAGAAAAAAGAGAATGAAATGACACCTACAGGAATAAAGTGCTTTTTGAGACAACACATACAAATAATGGCATGAGACCAAGGTAGAGCTTACTCCATTTACAGCTGGAGTTCAGGCTGTCTGGTCACGTAGTCCCATGTTTGGAGAGCTTCTCTCACTGAAGACAGATATCTCCAGATAGCTTCTAATCTTGATTGAAACTTCCAAGGGAAATTTTCTATTAATAAAATAGTTTACTGCCTCTTCCTGTTAAAATGCATTGACTATCTTGAATGCAATTTCATCTGTTAGTTATTTGAGCTTGTGGAAACTTAAACTATCTTCATATTAGTGCATTTTCTTTATTTCATGGACATAATCATCATTCCTGAAGCCTCTTTTGGCACACATAGGCAGAGCTCCCTGAATTGTACACATTAAAGCATGTTCAAAACTATCAGTATCTGCACACACTCCACTCATAACAGAAATCTTGGGGTTTATCAAAGATAGTTTGACAAAAAAACATCAGCCCCACACAGTAAAAAAAAAACACAAAGCAAACTGTTAAAAATTATTAGGAAGGAAATAAACAACAACTCTTCAGTGTAGAAAAGAGACAATTTAAGTGGGACACACTGGTAATCTCCCACTGGAAGCAGTGTGTGATTCTTTGTTCTTTCTCCCAAACCAAGAAATCTAAATTTGAAACTCACATGAACTGGGTTTAAAATCCAAGAAAAAGAGGTGATTCTTCATGCACCAGGCAGTAGAGAATTTAATTCCTTTTTCAAAGGAGTTGTGGATGCAAGTTTACATGGGTTCAGAAGAAAAGAGAACAAATAATTAGGAGCAAGATCTGTTGGACTCACCAGATTGACAGAGTACATCAGGCTCAGAAAATACTGAAGATAAAATCAGCCGAAGGCTGTGAAACAACAGGGTGAAAGCATCACATATGCACCCCTGAGCTTTACACTTTCCCAGTGTATCTACCTATGACAGGCCAACCGCACCCTCTGCCAAAATCAGTGTATTCATTCTTATGCTTGACCCATCGCTCTTTCTTACGGTTCTCCTTTAAACTCTCTCCAACCAAAAATATCCTTTCTGAAAATCTTCCTTTTTTTTCTGATCTTCATTTAAAACCTTTGGATAAAGGTTGACATATAAAACTAATGTCATGATAGAAACAGCATAATTATCAGGAATGTCAAATGTCTGAATTAGAACAAGCTGGCATTCATTATAAAGTGTCTCAAAGATTAATGAAGCTTTAGGAAAGAAGATGTAACTTTTTGAATTGATTGAAAAAGAGAGAGTTGGCTTAAGACCAGCATGCCACAGACACAGCACATTGACCAGGTAAAGTCTGTTCTTGTTGAACAAAAGCTGACAACTCAACTCTGCACAAGGTTAAAGATTGTATTTTAATCACAGACTGAAACATAATGATTTACAAAACTGATGGTTAGATTTAAAACCAACCACGTACACCTTTCTCTGGGAATATTCCCCCCACACCCTAGCAGATTAGGGGTTCAAGTGAAGAACAGAGCTGTTCATGTTTGCCTTTGGGACTGAACAGTGATTTCCAGGATGATGACTGATGCTGCAAGAATTCACCTAAGATGCTTGTCACTATATTTCATTTACCCAGCTGGAAGTGGCTTTTTCTATGGAACTCTGCTGGATTCATCAGAAATCCCAACCATCTTGCAGCTTTCTGTCCAAAGCCTTCTCTGCAGCTCCTCATCATACGTTACGTCAGCTGATTTTGTCCTTTCCTCATTGTAAAGGTAGCAAGCACCAACTCCTTCCATTTCGGGTGATACTGCTGCATAGATGCTTGTAGAGGCTCCTTCCTCTGGAGTCTACAGAAACCAAAATTAAATTCACGTGAGACAGGTACAAAGCAGGAATTATGTTTCATTGTAAGATCTT